TACTGTTTTAAATGACCCACAGTCATTACCAACTTTTCAATCCTCGAATGGCAGAAGCTGGATAGACCTTTCTATAAGCTCGATTCCCTTGGGTGAAAACATTCTTAATTGGGAGGTATTAGAGGAGGACAGCCTTAGCGACCATCGCTTCATTAAAATTGAACTTTTCAAGGTCAAAACCAAGAGGGAAAAAAGATTAACAAAAATGGGGGAAAAGAAAGTATTAGAGGAGCTACGAGAAGACAGATGGCTTCGAACCACGGCCCAGAGGACAATAGAAAATAGGAACCAGCTGGAAACCATAGTAAACCAATTCTACAGAAAGATTGAAGAGCTTGAAAAGAAACATTCAAAACATGTTAGCAATGATGACAAGAAGCAGAAAGCGTGGTGGAATGCAGAATTAGAACTAAAAAGGAAAAAAGTAAGAGCTTTACGGAGAAGGTACCAAAGGTGTTCAAACGAGCTCAGAGAGGATTTCAAGAAAGCATACCAAGAAGGTCAAAAGAACTATCAGAAGGACATAATTGAAGCCAAAACCAAATCGTGGAAAACATACTGTAGTAAGCAAGAAAAGAATCCATTTTCTCTACCGTATAAACTTGCGGCAAATAAAATAAAGAGGAAAATTGTATTTCAAGGTTTAATCAAGGAAAATGGAGAGACAACCGCTACCGAGGAAGAGACGATAAGATATATACTTAATAACCTCTATGCAACGAATGAGGACACCGGAGAGATATATAGAGAAGATAGCGAACATGAAGAAAAAGATGATGACGAGTACGAACACATAGATGTCACGGAAACCGAAGTGGATTATGTTGTAAACAACATAAGGAAAAATATCAGCCCAGGGCCCGACAAAATAAAGACTGAATTCATACAGAGAGTGTACCACATGCATAAAAAGTTTTTCATTAACATCTTTAATGCAGCATTAAAAATTCGTCATTTCCCATCAGCTTGGAAGATATCAAAAGTAATTCTTATACCAAAGAACAGGGGCAAAGGACAGCAACAAGTGAACAAGTATAGGCCAATTGCCATTAACTCCATCCTCGGGAAAATTTTTGAAAAAGTGATATACTATCGACTCTACCATTACTTCGATACTCGTGAATTATTCCCAGAAAATCAATTTGGATTTACGTATGGCAAATCGGCCATCACCGCACTGTACAAACTAAAACGAGACATAGTACATTCCCTTGAAAATAAAGACAATATTATAGTAATTTCATTAGACATAACCAACGCATTCGGGAATATAATTGTTGATAGAGTAAAAAAAAGATTTAGGGATTTAGAAATACCCAAGGAACTGAGTCAATTGGTATTGCACATGCTAGAAGACAGATCAATCAGCTATGAACTGGGGGAAAACAAAATTCAGCTAAAGCTAAACAAAGGAGCACCACAAGGCTCCCCCCTAAGTCCGTTTCTATGGAACATAATTGTTTCCGAATTATTAGTGGCAGAAATGCCAGAAACTACCACCATACAAGCATTTGCAGATGATTTAACAGTAGTGGTTAGGGGCAAAAGTAGAGCTAAACTAGAAGCGGAGGCCGCGAAAGCACTGACGACCATACACGAATGGAGCACCCGAAATGAGCTGAACTTCAGCCTGGAGAAATGTGAATTCATCAACCTAGGGGCCGCGTATAAGAATAGATCTCCAGTCATTAAAATTAACGGCATTTCAATTAAGCGAGTCCAACAAACGAAAATTTTGGGGGTGATATTCGACAGTAAACTTTCGTTTATACCACATTTAAAAATGGTGAAGCAAAGAATCCAAAGGATTACGTCTGGTCTGGCACAATTTACAGGAACGAATTGGGGTATGACCCCAAAACACCTCCGACAAATCTACTTAGGGGGAATAGAACGCATGATAGTATATGGCTCTCCAATATGGTACCCGGCAATATCCGCACGGAACAAAAATAACACAGAGAAGATAAATAGACTGAAGGCAATTCAGAGAATCCCCTTGTCAAAAATTGCTAAATCTTTTCATACAGTATCGAACGCAGCACTAAATATTGTCTGCAACATTCCCCCGGTACACATAACAATAGAACGAGAAAACACAATTTTTAACATAATTCATGGAGACGGAAAATTCGTGTTTAATGGTCAGGCTTTCGGGAAAGAAGATATCGCAACCAAGATTCGGCCATCCCAAACACACCCAGCAAAAAAGAGAAAATATGACTACTCAAAGTCAATCGAGGCAACCGATTACAGCTTTTATACCGACGGATCGGCTATGGGAAACAAAATTGGCGCAGCCTTCGTCATCATAGACAAGTTTGGCAGAGCAATAAAATACAAACAAATGAAACTTCCAGAACACTCAAACAATTTCGAAGCTGAGACAGTAGCTATCTATGAAGCCATAAAAGAAATGGGCACAATGAGCCAAACTAATACATACCAGATAGTAACAGACAGTTTATCAACACTAGAAGCTCTCAAAAACCCAAATAACACGAACCCATTCGTTCATAAAATTCGACTACAACTAAACCAATTAAAAAATATTAAGGTAAGACTTGTATATACGCCGGCACATACGGGAACTACAGGTAAC